GACCGGTTTACTCGGTAATGTATTGTTTTATCATTTACATACTCGTGCCTAGTTTTTAAGATTCATATTATTTACATTAAGTTATTTTTTTTGTCTTTATTTTATATTTTATATTTCTTTTAATTCTTTACGTGTTAAAATATTTATTTTATTCTTTATTTTTATATTTGAATTGATTTTATCCTTTTATAGTAATAATAATTTTAATTTTATGATATAATTTTAAATTAATTTTTAAATAATTCAAAATGTGAAAATTATAATATTAGATTTATCTATATAAAAATTATCAAATTTAATTGACATTTTAAATTCAAAAGAACTATAAACTTATCAAAAATTGTGTGAAAAATATATCTTACAAGTAACTAGAAAATTGTATGATATTATATTTTTAGAATTATTTTTGAACTTATTTTTATACAATTTTATCATGTTTATTATATTTTTTTGTTCGAATTTTAGTTACATTTAATAATTTTTATATAAATGAGTTTAATAAAATAAATTTCAAATTTTAAATCAGTTAAAAAATATAATTCAAAATCATATATCAAAATAGTAAATAGTCGTTTCAAAAAAAAAATCAAATTGATTCAAATTTGAGAAATAAAATATCAAAATAAATATTTAAAAAATAAATAATTAAAATAAATATAATAAATAAGATAAAAGATTAAAAATATAATTTAGCATTCGATGATATTTATACTTTAAGAGAGAAATAATAAAGAAAAGAAAAGATCATCAAATAAAAATAAATAAAGTGATAGAAGAAAAGTTAGTGAAAATTTAACCCATAAGTACCAAAAATTATTATTCTAAAAGTGATTTTGTAAGAATATTTTTTATAACAACTCTTAAATACGTTGAGGTGTATGTTTGGTATCGATTTTTAAACACAAATTTTTCTTTTTTCTTCACGTCTAAATATTTGATTTACATAAAATTTAATATTTATTACTTCAAATTATACATAAAAAATTACATCACAGATGTCATTGTTGAGATCATTGTTAAAAAAATCATCATCTCATCAATATCATATAATTGTCACTGATTAACAATCTTAAATCATATTTGATGACAAAATTAAAATATAAAAGTTTGGCTCCAACAAAGATTAAAACTAGTACCATAATTTTTAAATATAAGAATAAGAACTAAAAAAAATTACTTCCCTCACTCCGAAATACTGTAATTTTAATTTTTGAAAAATAAAAATAATTAAAAATAACAAAAATTAAAAAATAAAGCACAATAAACCCTAAACCATAAGAATAATTGAAAATGATCCAAGAATAATTTATATTAGAGTATTATTTTATATTTATTTGTTGATTTAAAATTATTAATAATTTTTAATAATAATTTAATATATTGTAAAAATCTAATTAAGAATAATTAAATGATACTTTTAATATTTAATTTTGTTTTTGGGAAAGAACAAACATAAATGAATTTTTTCATATAAAATAATTTTTTTTTGTAAAAGTTTCACCTATGTCAAATGGGAGTTTATCGTTACTAATTATTTTTTGTCATAGTTTTAGTAGGAGCATTTATTGACTTTTGTTCAAAACTTAGTCTCCTTTAAAATCTTAATTACATTAAGATTATTTTTCTCATGATTATTTGTTTAATCAAATCTTAAACCTAATGTAACAACCCGCCATGATCGTTATATTACGGAACAATATAACATACTATTATAATATATACTAAAATAATAAAATAAAATATTTATAATATAAGTTGCTAGGCAAGCAACCAAAAACATCCAATTATAAATAGCAAAAGTTGCTACTATAAAGTAGCCTGCAAAAGGAACATCTACTCTAGGGACCTCCTGTGGCCTCTAGCAGCTATCTCCCAACCTACCATGTCCTGTTCTCATACATCGTATGATCATCGCAGTCCAAACCACATGGAAACATGCAAGGGTAAGCTAGAGAAAATAAACAACTCATAATAATTAAATATGTAACATAACAACTATATAATCATCTTCACATCCAACACAAATAACAAACAACACATATACTACACATCTTAACATCATTTCAACTTAATTCAACATATCAACACTGATCAACAAAGTATCAACATCTCAACATAACTATTATACAACTTATCAAATTCAACACAACAACAACAACACGTATATTACACACCTCTTAACAACACATATTTAAAAGCAACATACAACATAGGTAATCTAGCAATGCTAGCATGATCATCAACTTGTTTAACATACAACGCACAACACTTTAACAACTCATATCATCATAATATCAACTCATCAACACATGCGTTGTCACGCATTTCAACTCAGAGATCTCCTAACAACATGAGCAGTCTAAGTGATTTCCATCTTATTGAACCAACCCAATCGTTTTCACACCCAAAGCGTCAGCTCGATCACAACAAAATGGGATACCAATCTCTCCTCTGGTTTCTCAGGTTTCATCACTTACACTAGAAAATTATGGTTCCACCGTTAGGAGTAATACAGCTGGGTATAGACTTACCACAATCTTAACATGCATTACCAAGTCAGATATGGAATTCGCCCATTGATTATCCTCAAGGAACCATGCAACTTTTCTAGGTACTTGGTTAAGGGTTGTAGCCCTCGACCTCCTACCTTACTCAACCACTAACTAAGGATTTGGAGGAGACTCAACACACCTCGAAACCTACTCCAATAGACACAACTACTCAAGGAGGGTTTTCCAAACAGTGGCCTACCCGAGCACCACTCCAAGATATCCTATGTGAGATCTTCAATTTTCAAAATAATTTTCTCTCCTCAAACCCTAAGTTACGCCCATCATGCTATAATGTTACACCGCATTCTTAGCATCCACACCCCACCATACATCTACTATATACATTACATCCAGTCAATGCATAAAGAGATCAATACCATCAATCATGTGCAACATACCAATGCTTAACATCTTAACCAAGAATAGAATACCAATGCCTAACAATTTATACAATAATAACATATCAATGCTTAACATCTCAACGAAGAACAACATATCAATGCTTAACAATTTATACAATAATAGCATATCAATGCTCTCACCATTTCAAGTGCACAAGGATAACATTACAATGCTTATTATCATCATCCTATAACATACAACATGCAATAGACACAATCATTCTATTCATGTTGACCAATTTCACCCATCATACAACATGTGTCACATGTAATTTATCAAAATCACATATTTTTATACTAACAACCTTCACATAAAACAACCTATAGGGAGTTCTACTACAATCACTCTCATCCTTATCTCATATGAAATAAAAAAACATTTTCTACAACTTTCATGAAGAACTCAGTTTCTAACTCCCTCATCTATCACGTTAAAACTTATAAAAACCGCAACCGTTAATGCTGACAATTTGACCTTTTCTCACTAAAAAGGTCATAACGGGAGCTCTAGACCTCCTTTTTGGGTGATTCCAGCGCCATTAGAAAGCTAACATCCAAGGCTACAACTTTCATGAAGACCTTAAGACCAAATTCGGTCATCTACCCTCACCGCTGCAGCACTCAAATCAGCACTAGATTTTTGCCAGCTTAGTTTCCTTTCCACGGCCATGGCTGCAAGTTTCTGTCACTCCATTTTCCAGCATGGCCATGGCTGTGAATCCACGACCATGGTTGTGAGTTTTTGCCTCCACATTTTTCCCCACGGCCATGGTTGTGAGTTTTTGCCTCCACATTTTTCCCCATGGCCATGGCTGTGAATTCACGGCCATGGCTATGAGTTTCTACTAGTTCATTTTTCCTCCACGGTCATGGCTGTAAGTCTCAGAATTTCTGAAATTCTATGGTTTTCACCTTCGATCCTCTCCTTATCTTCACCAATCTTCCCCCTAAACATGATCTACACCCATGATTACTACTACACTCGTTCAAGCAACCCAGAAACCACGAAAACTTTGACATGCATGCATCAACATTCATGATCTCCCATTTTTACCCAACACATTCAAGAACACCATAGCCCAACAACATGCAACCCACCCAACTCAACTACTCAGCTCCCAAATCACACCTTAGATGATGATCCAACCACATGCAACCCAAAAGGTACAACAAATTCGAGTTCTAGCTTCCCTTATCTCGAAAAGGAGTGAACAATGAACTTCGAGCTACTCCGATGTTGAAGAAGAAGAAAAAGATGGAATGAGAATCTGACTCCGAGCTTCAAAGCTCCTTAGCGCACCAATTGCTCAGTAACCTTAAGAATCAACAAGAAATGAAAGAGGTTTGGAAGAAGGAAATGGAAAAAAGAGAGGGAATGAGAAAGAAAGGAAAAATGAGAGGGGGGAGAAGGCTACAGGTCTCACACTTAGAATTTTTAAAGTTTGAAGATCAACTATAATACCAATTAAACTAATGTATGTTGATAAAAAAAAAAACATATATTTAATGCTTTTAAATTTTATTCTCTCTTTTTTTTTTCTCTTTATTTTTTTTTATTTCAATTCTTATCCAAATAAATAGTTATTATAAAGAAGATGAAAATGTCAAAGTTTTTTTTATAACTATATTATTAATATGAAATTATCGATTATATAATTTTGTTAAAGAATTTGAATGAGTATTTTTAGAAGAAAAAAATGTTTTTTCTTTATATTTTTTAATTCATAAATTTGAACCAAGAGAATTGAGTGTAGTTGGCACTTAGCATTTTCCAATTTCCAGGGATAGCAGTGAATCCGGCGTTAGAAAAACACAACCTGGTTTCGAAAAATAATCCGGTAGTTTTGAAGAATACGATGTCTAACCAGTTTTCATATAATATATATAATTAAGTATCATTAATTTTTAAAAAGTAAATTAAATATTATGAATATATATTATATAATGATTGATTAAGATTTAGGATTAGGAGTAAGATGATGAAGAAGTATTATATGTATGTATGTAGTAGTGAGTTGCGATTGGTGGGTGTGGAAAGGGGGTCCCAGTGTTGTGTAAGTATGTAGTATATGACACACACGACCACTCCCTTTCTTACAAATTCTAACACTTAAACCCCTTTCTCCACCAATCCCCTCACACTCTCAGTCTGACACCACCACCACCACCACCACCACCATGCCTGCCGCCGCCAAACCCACCAAGCCCTGCAAAAAGACAAACCTCTACACCCTCCTCGCCCTCCTCTGCACCCTCTCCTACCTCCTCGGCGCATACCAACAACCCACCACCACCACCAAAACCACACCCACACCATGCCCTCACAACCCCACGCTCACCACCCACCTAGACTTCTCCTCTCACCACAACGCCACCGCCGCCAACCTCCCTCCCTCCGCCGCCAGCCCCCGCTTCCCCCCCTGCCGCGCCTCGCTCACCGAGTACACGCCCTGCGAGGACCACGCGCGCTCCCTGCGCTACTCGCGCCACAGAATGGTGTACCGCGAGCGCCACTGCCCGGGGACGGCGGAGGCCCTGAAGTGCCGCGTCCCCGCGCCCCACGGCTACCGCAACCCCTTCCCGTGGCCGGCCAGCAGGGACGTCGCCTGGTACGCCAACGTCCCCCACCGCCAGCTCACCGTCGAGAAGGCCGTCCAGAACTGGATCCGCTACGACGGCGACCGCTTCCACTTCCCCGGCGGCGGAACCATGTTCCCCGACGGCGCCGATAACTACATCGACGACATTGCTCGCTTGGTTAACCTCCGAGACGGTTCCGTCCGTACCGCGGTGGATACTGGCTGTGGGGTACCTACGCTTTTCTTTTCCTTTTTTAATATTTTTGTTTTCAGTTTTAATTTTAAATTAAAAAAAAAGGAGATGAAAATGGATTTTGTGTGTTAATATTAATGTTGCTGCCCAGGATCGATCTGGGGACCTTTAGTGTGTAAGACTAACGTGATAACCACTACACCACAGCAACCCACATTATTCTTATTACTTCTTATTACTAATGTAAAACAAAAAACACAAAAATCGTTTTTATTTGGAAAATGAAGGGGTCTCTTCACTCTTGAGCGTCTTTGTCCTTCTTCCTGTTTTTACTTTTGGTACAATAATCATGCTGTTTCCACCGTGTCGGGCCCCACTTTTCAAAAGTTTTTTTTTTTTTTTATAGTAAGTTAATGAAAAGTTTAATTTGTATGGAACTTTAGTATAAAATTTTTAAGCTTTTTCTATGGTCAAATTTTTACACTTTTAGATAATAATATATTACTTTTATGTGACTTATTTTTTTACAAGTTATTGTTACACATGATAATATTTATTGGGATTTATCCTATGCCACATCACGTCATGACTTGACGATATGTTAAGCTATAATAAAATGGGTTCTTTATCTTTTGACATTACTAAACGGTTAAGTAATTTATTCAATTTCACATTCGTGTTAATTGTTTTAAGTCTTGATGAAAAGGTCTTTAGGAGCTGTTGTTCGTAACTTTAGAAGATGGTTAAGTAGAGGAGTGAGTGTGAGTGATTAAGTGAGGAAGAGAATGGTGGAAATGGTTTAGATTCGAAAATTGAGATTGAAAGAGAGAGTTTGTCTTGGTCTGGGGACGGGTTTTTGGTAACGAGGCCTCTAATTTGTTCGTTTCTCTCATGCCAAACTTTCGTCTTTAATTCTTTCAAATGGATCCAAACCAAGTGAAAATGCCTGTCTGCCCTTCACCCAAAAGAGTAATGATTCTCTCATGGATTTTCTCTATCAAAATCCTCGGGACCCATGTCAGAATCAATTAAATTTTCACATAATATACATAAATGTGTGTATTAATGAAGTCAAATCTTAGTTGCAACCAACTACATACCCAAGTTTTATCTATTAAATTTAGGAATATTTATGTCAAAAATTAAATTAAAAACAATTCGTGTTCTTGAGACAGTTAAATTCTTCAAAGGACTTTTAAAATTCTCATACTAGATATAAAAATTTAACTTGTAATTTTTATAAACATACCAAATGGACGTTCATTTGATAGTTTAAATTTTAGAATATTTAATTTTTAATATGATGCTAGAATTGTACTAATTAGGTTTTTAGCCATCAGATTTGTTGCAGTAAGAAAATCAATTTATTGTTGTTAGAAATAAAAGTTAAATTATAACATGTCTTAAAAATAGTTCAATACATTGTCCGTGTTCGTTTTATCATGAATACATTGATCCGTGGTCTATGTTTGTTTCTTTTGCTTAATTCGGTGCATCGATTAAAATAGAATATGAAAATTACAAAAGCATGGAAGGCTTTCTCCTGACACTGCATTTGTCTTTGCATTTGAGCGGCGCCTAGAAATCTGCGACGCAACCCATACAACCATATGGTATCATGACATGACCATGTCTATGGATTAAATATAGAAAGGGTACTCGAGATTCCATCCATAATTTTTTTTTCTCTTTCTGTAATGTCTAAATTCAAAAATAAAAAAATAAAGAAAGAACCAAAGTCCATATTGAAATGAAGAAATGAACCGGGCCAGTTGGAATGTGCTTCCCGGGGTAAAATGTTTACAAACAGCATTTGTACTACAACTAGATTCCAAAGTATATATTATATATATTGTTATTTGTGATTGTGATTGTGATCTTTCATCCCGTTTAACTATACTTTGGTGGGAAAGGGAATTAAATAACATAAAGGAATGGCCTAAACCTATGGTTGATTATTTGTAATATACTAGTTTACTTTTTTTGTCTTTCCCCCCTAACGAGGCATTTGTCTGGTCGGTCACAAACAACCTGTGATTTTCTTAATGTAGCTTTTCGATTAATGTATAGAATGATACATAATAATGTTTGATTATGCTATCCTTCCATGTTATTGTTGGTAGATTACATTAAATGTGATGTCCCGATGACATCTTGGGAAGATTACTTACTAGATTTGATTGATGAATTGTGCAATAGTAGGGAAATCTTGAAAGTTATCTTAGTTAAAGTTTGGTGATGCAGGTTGCTAGTTGGGGTGCGTATCTTCTGTCACGTGAGATCATAACAATGTCAATTGCACCAAGGGACACCCACGAAGCACAAGTTCAGTTTGCTCTTGAAAGAGGGGTTCCTGCAATTATTGGGGTCCTAGCCTCTAAGAGGTTGCCTTTCCCTTCAAGAGCTTTTGACATGGCACACTGTTCTCGCTGCCTCATTCCATGGGCTGAATATGGTAATACTTTACTTTCATCATAAGAAAAATTGAATAAAAAGAAGGTTTAGTTTAATAGGTTTTTGAGTTTATAAATTTTCATTATGTCACAACTTTCTAAGTATGTTATGTTATGTCACGAATGTTACATATTTAAATTTAAAATACATAGTAAATAATATAAACACCTCTAGAGTTTTGTTTTTTTTTTAAGTGTACTTACACTTCTTACTTTTTTTACCCTTACACTAATTCTTTAATTGTATGAGAAACATTATCTTGATACCCCTAGACATTATATTAACAATCCTTAATTGTTTAAAGAATATTGCACCCAGACCTTTTTATTAAAGTTGCTATAATCCTTAAAAAATAAATAAGTTGTATGGTGTAATTTATTCTTAAATATTTGTCACTTAATCATTAAATGGTGATAGACATTATTTTAAAAAATATTCAAAGAACTAAGAGTTCTTCTTTTAATGTAGAAGTAAAAGGAAAAGGTATGAAAGGAAATTTGATGAAAGCTCAAGGGTGTGGGTGTTGTGTAATTCACTCTATATTTAAAGCTATAATGAATGAAGCTTGATGATTCATCATTAACTTGCTTATTTTATAATTTTCACTTGTTTTGTTGATTTAGATGGGCTTTATTTAAATGAAATTGATCGAATTCTACGGCCTGGTGGGTATTGGATTCTATCTGGGCCACCAATCCGGTGGAGAAAACATTGGAAAGGATGGGAAAGAACACAGGAGGATTTGAATGCAGAGCAGACCAAAATTGAGAATGTAGCTAAAAGCCTGTGCTGGAACAAGCTAGTGGAGAAAGATGACATAGCCATTTGGCAGAAAGCAAAAAACCATTTGGATTGCAAAGCCAAATCTAAGCTCACTCAAAACAGACCTTTCTGCAAGCCACAGAGTAACCCTGACAAAGCCTGGTATGTGCTTCATTTTCCCATTATCCTTGCCATTCTTTTTCAAGTAAATATTTCCATTTGTTTAGTATTTTTCCTTAAATTTGAGAATCTTCCCATCAAAAATCAATTATCTCTTAACATGTTACACAAAATTATTTTCTAATTATTCTAATTATTATTGTTAGTAAAAATATCATATTAAAATAATTTTATTAGTGATTATCAGCCCATGTTAGTAATTTTATTAGTGATATTGAGGGACTAATAAACTTTTTTGAAATTAGGAGACTTAAAAGATTAATTTTAAATTTGAAGAATGATTAACAAATTTATTTTATAAATTTAATATTAAATATATTTAAGCTTAGAAAAAATAGTCCATGTTCACACATAGATTAAGAGTTTTTATACCAATAAGTTGTTGATCTGAAAGATAATAATATCCTTTTAAATAATGTCTCAAAATTGAGTCTTCTGAATAAAAAAAAATGTGATTAAAAAGAGAGATCTAGTCACTCACCCAGAAAGAAATAAATACTTTTTATCAATTACATGAATTTGTTTAAATAGAGAATTTTATATTTGACTTGTATGATAAATTTGTTAACTCTTATGATAAGTTAATAACTACTTTAAGGGTCATACTTACCATAAATTTGAATTAATTGATGACATTCTAAAAAGTTTAACACGGAGAATCCATAAATATTAAATTCTTTAAAATGCATAGTTTTAAACTATAAGGCCTTTTGATAATACTGAATGAAATTATTGCAACTTATTGAGCTATTTAACTTTACTTATTAATTTTGTTCGCTTTTCAGGTACACAGATATGCAAACATGTTTGAGTCCTCTGCCTGAAGTGTCCAACAAAGAAGAAACTGCAGGTGGGGCATTGAAAAAATGGCCTGCCAGACTAAAAGCAACACCACCAAGGATTTCTAAGGGGACCATAAAGGGGGTCACTTCCGAAACTTTCTCAACAGATAATGAGCTGTGGAAGAAAAGGATATCATATTACAAGAAGGTTAATAATCAACTAGGAAAAGCTGGGAGATACCGCAACCTTTTGGACATGAATGCTTACTTGGGTGGATTTGCTGCTGCACTAATAGATTCTCCTGTTTGGGTCATGAATGTGGTTCCTGTGCAGGCCAAGGTTGACACACTTGGTGCAATATATGAAAGGGGGTTGATTGGAACATACCATAATTGGTTAGCTCAGTATTCTCTTGTGGTCTTTGTTTGATTAAATTATCTCCCTCTTTTTTTTAACTCTGAAGTTAAAATGTTTGTGGTCATCGATTATGTTTCAGGTGTGAAGCAATGTCTACTTATCCTAGAACATATGACTTAATTCATGGTGATTCAGTTTTCAGCCTCTACAATGACAGGTATACATTTATTTTATGTTGCATGTTTTAGTTTGCAAGATTATTTCCAACAAAATTTGAATATTTAGATTTGTTTCAGCTATCAAGTCAAACTTGAATGTTTTAGTAAACTCCAATGTAATCCTAATTTTCTGAATGAAAAGGATTTCAATAAGGTTTGTTTTAGTATACGGGTTTAGTCTCCCCACAGCGTAGCAAATCAAAGATTAAATTTCTGCAAAAAAAAGAAAAAGAAAAAAAAAAGTATTCACATGTCCTACAGTGTCTCAAACATGATTACTTAAAAGGACACTTGTGGGGAAAGAAAGAAAGAAAGTGTAATAAAAAAAAGCTATATTGAAAGATGTTTTGTAAAGTTAAGATTAAAGTGAGGGTTTTGTGAATTAAAGTAATTAAATGTTTACAATCTCGTACTATAAAGTAGGGGTTTATTGTCAAAAGTTTCATATACATTAGATATAAGCAAAAGTAGACTTTTCTATATACTATGGTGATAGTTACAATCTTAGAAGTGCATTTCATGATTTGAAATCTAAGATTATGTTGTTTAAAGTATTCTGATTCATTAGAATCTTATAAATCTGCTCATGCGTTGTAGATGTGAATTGGAAGACATTTTGTTAGAAATGGATAGGATTCTTAGACCTGAAGGAAGTGTGATCATACGAGATGATGTTGATATATTGGTGAAGGTTAAGAGTATAGTCAATGGCATGGATTGGGAGAGTCAAATCGTGGATCATGAAGATGGGCCTCTTGAAAGAGAGAAACTTTTATTTGCTGTGAAGAATTATTGGACATCTCCAGCCACTTCCGACAATAATAGTTAAATACACTTTTAGTCTTTTAGAGGCCCCTTTATTTAAGTTTTTTCTCTTTTGCTACTTTAGTTTTTTTTTTTTTTTTTTTTTTTTT